ACAAGCACAGACAGATAGACAGACGTCTCGATATTTCGACCGGGAAAACCTTTTTTAATCAAAATCAATTGACAAAGGAAAAAGAAAAAAAATGGAAAAAAAATTTATTTTATTTTATTTTTTTTGTCCAAACAAGTAATTCCAATTAATAAAAATTTTGCTTTCCTTTCACTTTTCATTTCTATTATTATTATTATTATTATTATTTTTATTATTATTATTATTTTCGTTTCGTTATTAAAAAAAGAAAAAAAAAAGGAAAAATTCAAAGGAAATTTTTTTTTAAAATTTAATTGATTTTTTTATTTTTTTTTACTCGAATACAACGGTATAAGATTCACAAATAAAAAAACTAAAAATTGACGCCATTTTTAAAAATGGCGAATGCGTTATCGTGACGTAATTTCCAGGATTAAAATTTTCCTTTGTTGGAGTGAAGAAAAAAAAAAAATTTTTTTAAATAAATTTACTTAATTACAAATCTATTTTTTTAATTATTTAAAAATAAAAAATAAGGAAATCGTTAGATAGGGTTAAAGGTTAAGGCTAAGAAAGGTCGAGTTAAGAAAAAAAAAGGAAAAGAGGAAAAAAAAAGGTTAAAATCTTTTCCCGTGATTTCCGTTTAAAATTTTTAATTACAAAAGATCTACGTTAACGTCCTCTCTCTCTTCTTTTGATTAGCTTAAATTTTCTCATTTTCCTTTTAATTTTACCTTTTTTTTCAACCCCACCCTCCCTCCCTCCCATTCGTTTCCACTCCCCTCCTTTTTTTTTTTTTTTTCACGACAGAAAATTTTATAATTTTAAAAAACACGTACCTTTCGAAGAAAAAAAAAGTGAGAGTGAGTGAGAGAGGGGGAATAGGAGGAAGAGGGGAGAAGGGAATGGGGGTAAGAATTAATGATTCAGACGACTTGAATCCTTTTTATTTCGCTAATAAAATTACTTTGATTAATTTGCCCTTTTTTCGAATTAGGCGCATTTAAATTTAAACCTTTTTTTTTTTTTTAGATAAAAGGTAAAAAAAAATTAATATTATTATTATTATCATCATATATTATTTTATTACTCTTTATTATTATTATTATTATTATTATTACATTTAACGCCCTAAGGTTTTACTTAAATTTTTTTTTCGATTAAAAAGGTTGCGCCCTTTTTTTTTTTTTTACTTTTAAGGCCTTTTTTATCGATCGATTCTGTGCCTTTTTTTTATTTCTTCCACTGTTATCATTATTATTATTATTATTATATAACCTTTAACCTTTCTTTCCCTCATTCGGAAGGATTTAAATGTAAAAAAAAAAAAAAATTATTACAAATAATTTGTCCCCGGTAGCCTTTTTTTGTTTTGTTATCACGATTATAAATAATAAAAGGTTATTAATTAGATAAAGACCCATATCGACCGTATTAAACATTTAAGAGTTTCATTCAATTTATGAATAATAAATTAAATGACGTCATCATTCCCGTGTTTTAAATTCAATCAAAAGTATTCGTATTTGATTATAAATTTTTTATTATTTATTATACGTCAATACGAATGAAAAAAAAAAAAAAAAAGGAAACGCGAAGTGGATTTTTTTTTAATCGTTAACGAATATAAACATCAAAAACAATCATCAACGCCATTTATACATAATAATAATAATAATGATGATAAAAAAATGGCGGCGGAATAGGCCAAAGGGAGGCGAGACGGGGGCAAAGCAAAAAAAAAAAAAGTTAATCGAATCTTTTTTAAATGAAAATAATTACTCCGTAAAGAGAGATAGAGATAGAGAGATACGTAGGTAGGTTTGGGGATATGAGAGAGAGAGAGAGAGAAAAAAAGAAAAAAAAATTGTTCATTCACTGGAAAAATTTAAATTCCAATATTTTAAAAAATCAATGGTTTAACTCTTTTGTGCCGCATCGATGCTGTTCTCTCAATTTTTTAATGTATTCTTTAAACTCTCTTCTTTTACTTTTTTTTTTTTTTTTGAAAAGCATTTCAAAAGTTTAATGATTCGTAAAATGGTCGTTACTCGGTTACGAAACGATTTTTAATGAAAAAAAAAAATTTTTTTTTTTTTTTTTGATTATTACTCTGAAAAGCAATAAAAAAGAGAAAAAAAGAAATTTTTTTTTGTTCTTTCGAATATTATTATCATATATCGAGTTTTGTCGTTTGTGCGGTGTGTGACGTACGTGCTTTAAAATGTTTCGTTATCATTTCAGTTCCACCGGAAAGGATAAGCGTCATAGACGAAAAAGGACATCACATTCCACATTATAAAATGGGACCTTATAACGAAGGTTCTAAAATTGAAATCACTTGCGTAGCAACGGGTGGTAGGCCTACACCGAGAGTTTCATGGTGGATGGAAAATGCATTGATCGATGATCAATACGAACAAGTTTCACCAAGAACCGTTAAAAATATATTAAGATTGGAAAATATCGGAAGGCAATATTTAAACGTCGTATTTACATGTCAGGCTACTAACAACAACATTGTTGCTCCCATATCAAGTGCTATTACAATAGACATAAACCGTAAGTAGAATTATTATTATTACTATTTTCTTTTTCCCCTTTCTCTTCCCCCTTCTTCTCTCCTACTTTTTTTTCGTTACGCAAAAAGCTTTAAAAAGCTTTTAAGTTTGATTTATTATTGTTTTAAAAAAGATTTATTGGTAAAACCTGATTTTTTTATATTCTGATTTGAAGAAAACCTTTTTTTTCTTCTCTACCTTCGTTTGAAAGATTTTACATCGTTATTTAATTTTTTTACCTTAAAAAATATTTAGACAAATTTATTTAAATGAAATTTGGCGGGAAAAAAATGGCGGGTTTTTTATTTTTATTTTTTTTAAAAAAATAAAAATAAAATCGAACATTTAAATTGTTTCGTATTTTTCATTCATTTTCTCGCGATTCGATGAAATTTTAAAAAAGAAAAGAAAAGAAGAAAAATGGCAGATTTTTCATGAGGAAATTATTTTCTTTTTTTTGTTTTTTTATTCACTCTTTTTGTCTTTCTCTCTCTCTCTATCTCTTTTTGGAAAAATCAAAAAGAAAATTCAAGATTATTTTTACTTCTGTCAGTTTCACAATACTCGAGTTTTCATTCCCCGTTCAAACTCATTTTATTCTGTCAAGAAAAAAAATAATTTTTTTTTTCTTTAAAAAAAGAAAGAAAGAGAGAGAGAGAGAGAGAGAGAGTTAAATTTTCCGATGGAAGAAAAAAAATTGACCGCATTTTGTTTAATTTAACTCCAGGCATTTTAATTAAAGAATAGAAAAAAAAAAAAAAAAAGATGAAGAAGAAGAAGGGAAAAAAAAAATTTCCAGCAGAAAAATGTTTTTTTCTCTCCCTCTCGTACCAAAAAAAAAAATAATAATAATAATTTAGTTTTTGCTCCCATTATTGTTTTTTCGTTTATGATTTTCTTTCTTTTTTTATTTTTTGCTTTGCTTTTTCTTCTCCTTTCCTTTCCTTTCCTTTCCTTTCCTTTCGTTCCTCCTCAACTCTCTTCCAGTTTTTGGCCTTTTTGTTCGTATTTTTCAGAGCTATCCTCCCGTTCCCCCTCTCCCCTCGTTTCTTTCTATTCCCACGCAGCGGTTTTGTCTCTCTTTCTTGACTCTCTTTTTTCATAAAAGGGGAAATACAAGTCATTTTTCAAAAAAAAAAAAATACAAAGAAAAATCTTGTCTAAGTTCGACCGCGCGCGCGTTCGTAAACCATGACGGTCAGCAAACCGTAGGTAAGTTTTTAAAAAAAATTTATAGCGCTATAATTTTTCCGAATTGTTTTACCCTCCGCGCACACACACACACGCGCGTATATATATATATATATATATATACACTCGTACATATTTTATTTATTTATTTATTTTTTTTTGAAAATTATAGTTTTTTTTATTGTTTTTGATACGGGTATGATTTGTCTTGGAACAAGGGGAAACAATAATAATAATAATAATGATAATGATAATAATAATAAATTTTTTCCCGCCGTCTTGAGTAATGTTAAATAAAAAAAAAAAAAAAGGTCCCTTTTATTTTTTTTTATTCTTACTCACCATAAATAAATTTATATAGAATCAAAACGTTTGATTGTTTTTTTTTTTATAAGCATGTCGTTTTCCTTTCTTCCCCTCCCCCTGGTATAAAATCTTTTCTAGGGGAAGGGTGGAGGTTAGGGGGTAGGGTAGGGTAGAGGAGAGGGCTTTCAAAACTCGACGATTGATTTTTTTTCCTCCCCTCTTCTTCCCCGTTAAAAAAAAAAAAATTTTTAAGGCATTAATTTTTTTTCGTATTTTGGAATCTTCTCTTTTCCTTTTCCCTTGCCCCCCCTCCCCGAAGAATGAATTTTTCCAAAGTTTGTGAAGAATTTTATTACTCAACATTTATTACTTTAATTTTTATTTGTGACAAAATAAATTTTTTCTTAATCCAGCTTCCGGAGAGTATTTTAAGTAATAAAAAAAAAAAAAAAGAATTCTAGAAAATAAATAAATTTATGACCGACATATTTTCCCCGTATCCATTATATCTTTTGCCTACGTAAATACATATATAAAAAAATTTTTTTGTTTTGTTTTGTTTTTTTTTTATCTCTCTCTCTCTCTCTCTCTCTCTCTCTCTCTCTCTCTCTCTCTCTTCGTATTTATTTTCAAAAATTGTTTACGGTTAATAATAAAAAAAAATTTACGATTGTAAAAATAAGAAAAAAAAGAAAAAAAATCGTGGAAGCAATTAATGGCACAATGAACTCGAATGAAAGAAAAACGTTTTGTCGTGGGATATTAAACGTTTATATATATGTGTGTTTTAACAATAAGAAATCGGGGATTGGGTGAGGATGTGCGTGTATTCGATTATTGCGAAACGTTTCGTCATTTTTTTTTGTTGTTTAGGTGAATACCGGAAACGGACAAAATTCAATTCGATAACGTTACTTTGGAAAAATAGTAAAACAAAAAAAAAAAAAAACTGCAGATGTCTTGTCGACAAAAAAATTTTTTTTCCTTCCGGATTTGTTGAAAAATAGGGGTGGGGGGAGGTAGAAGAGAAGGAGGAGGAAAAGACAAAGAAAAAGAAAAAGCAGAAAAAAAAATTTGTTCAGTAAACCGGAAAAAAAAGGTCTTTTTTTAATTAAAAACTAAATTTTTATCGCTGAATTAGCAAAGCAGAAAAAACAATTCAATTTTTTTATTCTTGAACCAAAAAAAAAAAAAAAAAAAGTTTTAGTTTTTAGAAAAACCGGAAACGGGAATGTGTACACGTGCGTGTACGCGTATACGTGCACGCACGTATACGCACGAAATAATATAAAAAAAAACGAAAAATGAAAAAAAAAGAAAAGTTTTTAATAAATTACATTTTTTCATCATTAATAATGATGAAATCATCATCATCATCATCATCATCATCGTTTTTTTTTTTTCTCCAGCGAATGATTTGACTCTTCGTTTTTAAATTCCATAAAAAAAAAAAAAAAATTTATTTCTGGAGAAAAAAAAAAATTAAAAAAGATGGTTCTTACAACAACTTAATGCTCCGTAATTTTAATTACTTGCAGTAAAAAAAAAAAAAAAAAAAAAAGTTTTTCAAAAGTAACTTTCGGGGTTTCTCTCTCTCTCTCTTATTCTTCATCAACGTTTAAAGTAGCAGTGTAGCGAAACGAAAAGGTTTTAGATAATTCAAATTAAAAAAAAATTATTACGGTTAAAAATAGATTTTCTTCTTCCACGTTTTTTAAAAATTTCATCTCGGAAGAAAAAAAAAAAAAAAGTAAAATTAAACGAGAATAAAATCGACGCGTTTTTTTTTCTTTTAAAATTTTCGCAAAAAAGTTTTTTATGTTGATGACAGTGATGAAATGCGTGCCGTCTGCTAAATTATTATTATTATTATTATTATTATTATTATTATTATTATTATTATTATTATTTTATTATTATTAATACTAAAATTATTATTATTGAATTTTTTTCTATTATTTTTTTAAATTAAGATTGAAGTTTTTGTTTAAAAAAAAAAAATTTAATTTTTTTTTTTTTTTTTTTGAAAAGAAAATTTTTTATTTTAATTTTTTTTTTATGCTTCCAAATGGGGAGGCCATCGTTTCGGGACGAAAAAAAATGATGATAAAGATGAAAATGGGGAGAAGGAAAGGAAGCCGAAAAGTAGGCTGAGGAGGACAAGGGGGTTGGAAAAGGATTAAAAACTTTTTTAAATATAAATTCGAATTTTTTTTTTTTTTTTTTTTGTAAAATTAATTAACTGACTCGATTCAAAAAAGTTCACTGGTTCGTTCGTTCGTTCCCCGTTTTTTTTTTTTCATTTGCCTTTGAAAAAGTTTTTTTTTTTTTAATATTACTTTCGGATGAGAAATTTTTTTTTTTTTTAATATTAACAAAAAAAAAAAAAAGGATACGCGCCATGTTTTTGTGGTTTTGTGCGTAATAATTTTTTTAAAAAGATGCCATAAAGTGTGAAAAACGTGGAAGAAGAAAAATAAAAAGGCGAATGGAATTTAAATTTTCCCGCGTGATTTTATTTTCTTAAATATGACGACCGGTCAAGTTAATTTCCGGTATGATTACGAATCCATGCATCGTTTTCGAGTAATGCGATGATGTATTACTTTTTATAACGTAAACAACATCGACTTGATAAATTCGTAGCAGACGAAAATTAAAAAAAAAAAAAAAAAAAAAACCTCGCCAAAATTGATTTTTCATTGTCTGACCCGTTTGAAAAATATTTTTAAATTATAATCAAAATTGAAAGGTATAATTTACTCATAGGTTAATCATTAGGCGGACCGTTAACTAATGAAAGAAATCGAAAATACCAATTCGTTTTTTTATTTGAGTACTCGAACCAGAGTAAACAAACCGGAAACGGTTAGGAAAAATAAAGAATAAAAAAAAAAGAAAATTATTTTGATTTTTACATTTATAAAAGTTATTAAAATTTTTTTTTTTTTCTTCTGGTTAAAAAAATTTTTTTTCTCATTAATGCAGAAGAAAATTTTTCTTTTTTTTTTTCGAAATGCTTTTTTCTAAATTAGATTAGAATTTATAAAAATTGACGTTTCTGTTTAATAATTTTTAATGTTTATTCTTTTTTTTTTTTTTTTTCGAAACGGAAAAGTTTTTCCTTTTTTTTTCCTTTTTTTTTCGTCGCATAATGTCAAAGGCATTTACTTTTTTTTTTCCATTTAAAAATTTTTTTTTTTTGAATGGTTTCGAAACTGTGATTCGATTTTAATTTAAATTAAATAAAACTGAATATAAATTAATTTCCCCCCCCCCGTTAACCCTCTTTCTCCTTCCACGATTTTTTTTTAAACCGGAAGATAAAAAAAAATGTATTTCCGTATATAATTATTAAATTCGAAACATTTTTTTTTTTTTTTTGTAATGATTTAATATTATAATTTTGACAGAATTTTTTTTTTTTTTTTTTATTCCATCCATAAAAAGATCCGATTGCTTTTTACTCTATGGAATTGAAAACGAGAATAAGAGAGAAAGAGA